AAGTAAGTCCTTATAGGGCCCGATTGCGTGGCCCCGGTACAAGGGGTTTGAAACATGGTTTCCCTATTTTAATTTGGCATTCTAATTCCCTGTTTAGCTGATTTTATTCTTTAGAATTTTGTTTAGATTAGTTGCATGATGTATTTAAGCTTTGGGACATAGTTTATGTAATTTGTGCTATGAAAGTGTAATTCATAAACTAGTATTACTTTATATGTAATTGCCCTATAAGGGGTTGTATTTGAGTTTATTTACAGTGATTATACAACGCTAGAAATGGTTGTAATTGTTATGTAAAAAGATTGTAACTTATTCACTTAGCTTGGTTTTTAGCAAGTGGCTTGTTGAAGGTGTCCATTTTGCCTTATTTTTCGGCTTGAAAATTTGCTTTGGTCTTTGTATCCACTTTCAAATTTATCATTGCACGCTTCAAAACTTGAGGACAAGTTTTCTCCGACAAGGGGAGAATGATGTCGGACAAAATTATTCTAATTTTTTTTTTTTGTTTAATTTCAAAAGATGCTTATTTTAAATTTAGGTTTTAAGGTCTATTTCTAGGGTTTTAAAATTTTTAGGGACTCTATGATTTTTTCTATTTTTTATTTAATATTCATAGGTATTGTTCAAAGGTGTTATTCATGTTAATGTTCACTTGTACCATTCATGTGTTACTTTTCACATGGGTATTTCAGGAATTTTATTATTGTTTAGGGGTTTTAAAGTCTTAAATGTTTACTTGGGTTTCATGTTAATTTTAGGGTTTCATAGATTTATTTAAGGTTGGATGTCAAATTTTAGGATGCTTATGTTATTGTAATGGATTTTATTTTAGGAAAAAGGAAAGTTTTCTCATCTTGGCTTGATTTACTATTGTTGTTGTTACTGTTGTCAATAGCTTGGATTGCAATCGCACCTAGCTAATATCTTTTTCTAGTGTTGTCTATTGCTAGCTAAGCCTTGATCTCAGGGAAGTGACGATAGAGGGTAGCTGCTGACTAAGTGAGGCGGAGAGCCGAGTCTCAAGCAAGAGGCTTCTTGCTGGCAGCTTTTCTCTATAATTGCTGATTTTTACTTATTTGAGGTTTAAGACAAAAGTAGATTCAATTTCCCACCTTTCCTTTCTGCATCACAAATCCCCTATTGTTGGACTCCCATGTGCATCTCTTCCCAGATCCATCATTTTAGGAAGCATACCCTTAAAGCTTGGAGATAATTCACATAACTTCCTCTCTTAAGTAGAATTATAAACTGCCCTTAAATCCCAAAACAACTAAAATTTCCAAAAACGAAATGCATCCTTTAATCCCCAAACTTGAAATCCAAAGGAAATATGTTTGTTTCTCTAGCGCCGGCATCAGAGTCCCTTGGTTGGAGAAATCTATTCTTGCAGTTTAGGAATCTGACTCCTTTGGTTGGTGAAACTTATCCTCGAGTTTGAAAGTGGACTAGGAAGGACTTGTGTTAAACCCATCGTCTTCTTCAACCTTACTGGCCTTCTCACCATCCTTAATATAGTCTTCAAACTTTCACATCTCTAGACACAAAGGCGCTTTATTAGTGAGATAGGAGATGTCTTCTTCCTCAATCTCCATGGACTTCGTCTAACTCTTAATCTCAGTCTCGAAATCTTTCTTTTACGTTGCAATCCCTAAAAAGTGTCTAGGACTGATTGAGACTTCCAGTGGCTAGGAGTGATCGTTAAAATGTGGGGATTGAGATCCCATGGAAATCCCTATCTGGAAGCGCTGCATTGGGATCCCAGAACGGATCGACACCTAGTTTGTTCAATCCCGATAACTATAATCTGCTCATCTGGAGCCTGCATCAAATGGGTGAATGATCATTAGGGGATTGGAGAATTGGCTTTCTTTGTCAAAAATTTGAGGTCCTTTGTCCTTTCACCGCCTTGAATGGAGCAAGTCAGGCTGAGGGGTCAATGGAGAGGGAGTCAATAGTGTACAATGAGGTTAGAGATATGGTTTGAGGGGGGTCCGAGAAAATTATTGAACGTCAATCTGTGCACGAACCTATGCAAACAGGGTTAAAAGCAGTGGATAGCCTGGTTCCTACTATTTATAAGCCACAGCTCAGTTCGATTTTTCCAATTTCCCATAGAATTAGGTGGTCCATTCCATTCCTAGTCTTAACCGCTATAGTTTTGTTTTTGTTTATTATGTGTCTTGAAGTTGGTTGGCTTTCTTATTTTGAGGTTCTACTTTCAAAGGTGGGTTTCCTTCTAGGGAGTCGAGCCCTCTCTTTTTTTTCTAAACTAAGCTGCTTTGGGGGTCCGGCCCTTTTGGTGTATTGTTCTTGTAAGGCGCTCATCCACTTGGATGAAATTTTCTTGCCAGATGTGGCCGATCTCATCTGCGCTCCCCTCATAAGGCTATGGTTGCTGATCCCCGCTCCCATTCACTCACAAGGACCAGGGGTCATGACCACTCACTTGTATAGTGAGTCTGCTCCAGCAATTCCAAACCGGCGGAGAATACCAGGATGTCACCACAAGGAATCTGTGCAGAGTATTATCATTGTCTGCATATTGTGATTATTATGGAGGAAAATATGTTTCTTACCAGGGGTCTCTCAGATTCAAATGTTAGAGAGATTTTGCGCCGTCATAAAATAGGACACCTGATAAGAGTGTTTTGTTGTTTCCCTTTTACCATGCTGCCTACAGTTTGGAGAAATGCCTATAGCTATTAATGCAAAATGCAGACCCCCAGATATTGAGAATTTTAGGCCCCTAAGCTAATAGCCTTTATAAAATCATTGGAAAGAAGGTTGTGTATTATGCTTTTGAAGATCATCTTCCTTGAGCATGGGACTTTTGCAAGGGGCATTTGTGTTGATGAAAATATATCTCCCTCATGAGCTGAACTGATCTCTGAATAATATGTAAAAATAGCCTTCGGAACTTTTCTTTTGAGATACACATGTCAAAAGCCTAGAATCACCTCCAGCGGAGTATCTTGGGTGATTTTATAGCTTATGAGCTGTTTCATTATTAACTCAAAATGGCAACAGCTGGTTGGGGTTGCGTTAGGGGATTTCCGTTGCAATAAATGGCTGTCTCGGTAGTGATTTCCCAGCTCCAAAGGGCTGCAACAATGCTGTTCACTAAGTCCATGGCTCTCTATTAATAAGTAGCTTTGCCTAAAGATTTTAAAGAACTAATTTCTAACATTAATATGTTGCCTCTCACTGTTACAATGACTAACCCTGGTTATCGATTGGTTCTGCCAGAACTTTATGATCTTTTTGGTTGAACTACTAAAAAAGATTTTCATCTAGGAAATTTTAATATAAGGATGCTTTTCATAATCTGCTCACTTCTTATGGATGGATTAATGGTGGGTTATCTATTAACAACGTTCGGCATCATTTGTATTTGCTTTAAAAAAGCTTCCTGGTGGCTATGCTTGAGAGGCTTTTGGGGTGTTTGAATCTTTTCAAGTTCATTGCATATTGTTCTTAACCCTAGTTGATTTCATGCAATGTATGAACTGTGCATTATAATTCTGGAGTAGTATACTTGATGGAGCTGCATGCTAGTGGTTTATATGGAAATAATGTGGAGTGCTACAATCTTATGCTCAGAGGTGAGCATTTTGTAAACTTAACTTTAACCCAACACGGGCATGCTTTTGAGCCTTTAGGGATCACAACATAAAGATTGTGAACTGTCATGGGGAACCTCTTTGGGTCCACCTCAGTTGGACCTCAAGTCCTTGGAGTTGGTGTGTTTATGGTGACTTCTATTAGCATGGTATCTTAAAGGTTTTACAATGTTGTGAGGGGATGGTCCTATTCCATTGAGGCTTAATGGGTATCATTTATAAGGTAAGTAGCTGATGATAGTGTGCAAATGTTGTTCCGGTTATTAGGACATATCTGGCTTCTAGTTAAAGTCAAATTCTCCTTTTTATGTGTGCGTACCTTTGTAGGAAAAGGATTTGGTCTGCACTAGGCCAGACTACTACAGTATAAAGTCTGCATGTTGGTGGGCTTTAAGGGCATTTATTTGGCCTAAAAATTTTCACACATACTTTCTTTTACCTGGCGAAGAAGCTCTGCAAAAATTGAAAAAGCCAATGGACGTAATTCAAGGTCACATGCTTATAGTTATCCGTGGTTTAGATAATTAAAAGTTTGACTTCATATAAAAAGAGAAATGGCAGAACTTAATGCATTTGCAGTTGCGCAAGAAATGGGCAAGTGAAATAAATATTTTAACAATGAAAATATCAAAAAGTTAAGAACAAAAACAGGAAACAAATTTGTACCTTGAAAATAATGACATTAAAATAATTGAAAATGAGGGATTTTACTTGTTAGATTCAGCTCAAACTTTGTGGCATCAAAACCCCTACCCTGGGGATAGGTATTGTTCTGCTCCAGGCTTGGGATACACCAATTCTCAACAAAACATACCTAGCCAAAAATTTCTGGAAAAGATGAACATTCTGAAAATTTATGTGACAACTCTCTTGTTTCCCAGCAACATTTGAAATCAGATCTGCTTTGTCAGAACCATTCAATAAAAAGATGTGAGGACTTCAATGCCCAGTGCAAACTACCTGCTTGAACAATTTGAAAGATGGCCAACTATGGAATGAAGAATGATTCCCTTCATTCAATTGGATTTTTGTTCAGGGAAGCAATACAAGCTAAAACACATGAAGAATATGATATGGGACAAGATATCTTACTCTGGTTTTTTCAATATTGAAACTATGAATAACATAAACTATGTGAAACAATTATACTAGACCTTGTGTACATTCTTCAGAAGCATGCTATTTTACCACCTTGGGCCTCTTCTGTTCTTCAAGACTCCTTTATATAATCAGAAAACTTTTGTGAGTCCTAAAACCACAGAGAGTCTTTGCAGCACTTTCTTCAGTTTCATATTTATTTATTTGTTATCAAATATGAAACTATTTTGCACCATCCACTGACCATTAATGCAATTGAGCTTCTATTTACATTTTCCACAGGTTCTTTGAGAGTTATCCATGAACAATTACATTGGGCATCAACATCGGAATTCAAAGTTGAAATTCTCCATTGTTTGAAGGAGATTGGGAGCATACTTTTCTGCATGGGCCTTTTTGACATTGTTCTGGTTAGATAGATTATCCACCTCTTTTTATTAGAATACCTTCTATTTTTTATATAAACGCCTTCTATAATTGTCATTAACTATTTATGGTATTAGCTACTGCATAAAAAACATTGTAGCTATTAGTGATCCAAAAAAAAAAAAAGAATTTGTAGCTATTGATAAACTGAGTTATGGAGAAGCATCTCATCCTTTATTGCTAGGGATTGTGCAGCGCATGCTTACACTCAGAGAATTCACTAAGCAAAAGAATGCTTTCAATAACAGCAGTAACCTAGCAATTTGTTTTAGTCTTAAAAACACGAATTCATCATCCAGAATATCTATAACAGTAATATCATAATAATCCAAGGGTCCTTTTCCCTTCCCTTATGATTTAGTAAATAATGTTAGCTATGGCTTGGTGTCCCCTAATTCTGGGGCTTGTGGATATTTAAAGGCTGTACTAATAGTAATTGTAAGCAGTGTGCTTCCACTAGCAGATGATATATTGAAATAATTATGGTTTATTTATCCTTTTGATACATAATGATACTCTTAGTATCCCTGCCGACTCTGCTGTTTAATTCTTTCATTCTGCATCATCTCAGGCATGCTTGGATTCTGTTACCTTCTAACTGAGAACTACACTGTTCATTGTCATCTGGACTAAAGTACTGAACTGTGTTTCTTGGAAAACATGGATATTATGGTTCACATGAAAATCTTATGTGTCAATCATGTCACCAGAGAAGCCTGTTGACCTGGTCTATCTTTTCAAGAACTTGGGGATGGATGGTAGTGTAGGAGAAGTAATTTGTTCTTTGTTAAAGTGCTTCATATTTTACCTTCAAAAGGAGGAATTGAGGGAAAATAAACTCTAGAGGTGGAGTTTATATGCAGTTAAGATTTTCTAATCCTATCATGTTACTTATAACTCACAAATGGGTTTCCATGTAGAACATACTGTATTGAAATTACTGTAAGAATTTATAAGCTATCCTATCTTCAAGACATAGTATCATTTGTTTCCTTCTTGTAATTTGGTGTTGAACTGACTTAAACATGTCATTACCTCACAAGAACATTATTCTGTGGTCCTTCTGTTGCATAGGAAATTGTTCACATCATAGGCATGGTATGAAATATCAATTTTCTTAGTGATAAAGAACTTCTGCTAATAAGAAAATTTCCATATTTTCTTGTAAAACAGAGAGAAGTTGAGACAACCCAGTTCTTGCAGATCGCTCCATGGTTGGGTTTGGTTCCTGGAAATGAAGGACAAGTGCAGCAAGATCTAAAGGAAAATGGCAATAGCCCTATCATCAGCCTCTTTAAATCTGCAACTACTGTGATTGCAACATTACCAAGTTGTCCAAGTCCATCATCTTTCTTGACCATGTCAAAGCAAGCAGAAGCTGCTGGTATCAAATAGCTTCACTGTCTCATTTCATCAAGCATTTTTTTCTGTTTCATTTTGAAAATCATAATAGAGACATAGAAAGCATTCATGCAAGGTTGAGCAACATGGAAGCTTCAGGGAACTTCTTAAATGATAATCTCTGCCTGTCTCTCGTAGTGTCTAAAATGTCCAGTAAGAACCCTATATTATCTTTGGTATTTGATAATGAGTTGCTCAACAAAAGAGCAATTTGGTCAGGATGGAAACCATTGCTAAGTTATAGTTCTTGCTGACTCCTGGCTGAAGAATACACAAATCAAGAGAGTTATAAGTGTCACTGAGTTACTATAGCGGCACCCCGGGCATCTTGTTAGTGTTTTATTTAGGATGTTCAAGAAATGTGATGTGCTCCAGGTCTTTTCCAGACGTGTACCTCCTGAGGCTAATATGGAAGCAGATTCCATAGGCCATGAGAGTGTGGACCTTCAACCTTTCTGTACTTTGGTTTTGATTTGATATTCAGTTATCTATGATGTGACACTCTATTTACTTTTAAAATAATTGATATTTCTTAAAGAAGAATTAAATGTGCCAACCTAACCCTACATACTGTCCAGCCAAATATCTGATTTGGGTACACAAATGCATCCTTATTTTGTCAGTATGCTGCCCTTGTTTGAACTGGGAAAGCATATAGTAGTTCTCAAATATGTTAAACCCATAATGTGCCATGATGTCATCATCCAGGATGTCTAATCAGGAAATTTCAAGCTTGATCTCTTCAAAAACAGAAATTGTAGAAATTCAAACTTAATCTCTTAAAAAACAAAGAAATTGTTCTTTAGAACAAAGAAATATAGGGCTTTAGGCTAAGTATTTCAGGATTCATGTGACGCTTGTTCATGGTTTTGGCTTAAAAGAACATCCCAAATAGTTTTCTGTGTTGCCATTAGCCTTGATTGTTTAGGCTCAGAGCACATGTTTATACAGTTGCAGTTGCATGGCATCATCTGTTGTCAGTGTCGTGCCAATGTTATTTAGAGAAGTGACCAAGTTTTCTGATGTTTGGGCAATGTATTTTAGAAGAAAAGGACTTCAACTCTTTATCTGGTTTACCTCTGCCGTTTGTTAAGAATATCTTGTAACACAATACTTTTTTAACCAGTTTTTTCCAGGCCTATACCAAGGGTAATCTTCTAATAGTTTTACTTGTTGCCATAGTTCTTTCAGTTTCTTAATGTAGTTTCCTGTTTTTGCAGATGTATTTTACAAGAACAACCTGCATTCAGGAAGTGTGCTTGAATATTCTCTTGCGTATACAAGTGCGGCATTGGACAGGCTCCGCAGCAAATGGAGCTCTAATCCCAAGACTGGCTTCATTGACATCACAACCTCAAAGGATTTCTACCGAATTTACGGCGGCCTTCAATTTGTAAGCCAATATCCTCTGTATTTCATTTGACTTGTGGTGGTCCATGATTCACGAATGAGTCCTTATTTCCGTACTTAATTAACTAACATTAGAAAAGGCATCCTCTAAATTCCTTCTACGAATTGTCAATAATGGAAAATGTCTATTTTGGTTTACAATCAAACTATATGATTGGAACTCGAGAATAATACTATTAACTATATATGTTATACAACCCTATATGAAAAATGTCTACATATACAGAATACAATGAACTTACTAGGAAGTGCTTCTCAGTGGATAGGAAGGTGTTCTATCCACATATCATTATTATTCATATGTGTATTTTTCGTATTCTCAAATGTATCATTTGTTGACCATCATACATTTGAACTAAGTATTGTGCATTTATGCCCTGGTAGTTCTATCTATTCTACATTGTTGTAAATCTTCTATCGTGCCAGAAAGTCTGACAAAATTACTAAGCACTTCCACTATTCAGCAGTCTTCTTCATCCCATATAGGGCTTGCTCATGGTGTCAGAGCAGCTATCTGCTGGAATTCCCAAACTTCTCTTGTTGGCCATCGAAAACCCTTTTAAGTATAAAAGTGAAGACACACTCAAAAAAAAAAAAAACATGGGCAAAACTATTGGCAGACTTCCATGTTTAGTTTTTAACAAGAAAAGACCCTGTTTGAACAGATACTTGTCCCTCTTAAGAGTAAAAAAATAAAGCCAAGGTTTCATTCAAATCAATCAAAACAGGTGGCTGCAGCAAGTTCTTACTAAACACACAAAACTAAGGGAATTTTGAACATCTTTTGTTTAGGGTTTATTGGTTTCCATGTATGGTTGCAACTAGACTTGTGTGATTTGGTTGCAAAAGCTTAACCCAAGGGTGCTTACAAAGTTTGGGACCCAATAAAATTTTATAGTAGAAACCCTGCTGTCCTAGTTTGGGGTTTTCTTCTTGATCGACACTAGAGAGGACCCCACATTATCCACGCTAACCAAGAATATGTTTCTTTTCCTTGTCTGACTTCAGTTCAATTTCACTCCTAACTTCCTGTGTTTTGATAAAATTTATGCTTTTGCTTCTTTGAGAAAAAAATTCTTTAGATCTTTATTGGGATATTATTTTTACTAGTTAATGGCTCACCGAAGGATTTTTTTTCCGGCCTCTAAGGGACTCAAACAAGGAGACCCCATCTCACCCTACTTGTTTGCTATCGTGGCTGAGGTCTTCAATCAGTCAATATCTCGAATGTAGAGGTCCGGTCGTGTTAATGGGTTCAAGAGCTCTCCCAAGGGAATGGTCATCTCCCACCTACAATATGCCGACGACATGCTTGTTTTTCTTGGAGCTTCACCGCCAAACCTTGAATTTCTTCGTATTTTCCTCGAGTGCTTCAAATTTTCCACGGGGTTCAAAGTCAATATGGCAGAATCCAAAATGATCAGGGTCTCCTTGAGTAGATCTTAGATGTCCTCCCTCGCATCTGGTTAGGACTGCCAGGTCGAGGACCTACCCACCACTTATTTCGGTATGCCACTAAACCTAAGAAGCGTCAATGGTCCCACATCATTGACAAGGTGGACTGTCGACGTGCAGGATGGAAAGGTCGTTTCCTCTATTTAGCTGGCAGAATTATCCTCATCAAGGCAACCCTCTCCAACACCCCTATTTACCTTATGTCCTTGTTTCATATGCCCGTGGCGGTCGCCTTTCGCCTGGAACAGCTTATGAGGGACTTCCTTTGGTCAGGTGACTCTAGTTCGAGAAAATTCCATCTCATCTCATGGGAGAAAGTTTGTCAGCCCAAACACCTTGGAGGCCTTGGGATCCGACAGTTAAGAAAACATAATTTGGCATTGTCGAGTAGATGGTGGTGGCGAATGGCAACCAAAGGCAATCTCTTATGGATCCAAGTTATCCAAAGCAAATACCGCCTTGACCCCATTCCTTGGCTACCCGTAGGCAGGCCTACTAGTTGGGCCTCAGGGGCCTAGAAATCCTTCCACTCCTCCTATACCCTCTTTCATCGACTCATCAGGTTCCACCATCGGGAGGGATGCCGTATCCATTTTTGGTCGGACCTCTGGTTTGGCCATTCCCCCTAACGGACCTTTTCCCATCTCTCTTCTCCCTTTCTCTAAACTAAAACTCCTCAGTTGCTGATGAAATGCCCCTCTTGGACCACTCAAGACTTGGAACCCTTTCTTCAAAAGACCTCTCACTGCCGCCGAAACGACAGATTTCATTAACCTTTCAGGCCTCCTCTATTCCACTTACCTAGCTTCCAGTGGGTTGGACCAAATTATTTGGACCGCCTCCCCCTTGGGGTGTTTCTCTGTGGCTTCGTTTTACAAAAACCTGCTTTTGCCTCTCACCTTCCCCCACTCACCAACCTCAATTGTGGCCCAGTCTTTGTCCTCCAGTGCTCCCCCAAGTTTCAATTCTATTGTCCATCTTCAATTACTGAAGAAACCACTTAATAATAGAGGGAAAGTTATTTAGAAATAGAAGTAACATTGTTGAGGTTTGTTTTATTTGAGAACACTTAACAATGCACTTAGTGAGTTAAAGATCTTCATTATAATACCACAATGAATTTCACGGGCAAATGACATTGCATAGATAAAAGGGACCTGTTAGATGTATATATTAGTCAATTTGCTTTGATGCTTTAATATGCTGTAGGCATTAACATAATGCTTGTATTAAATAAAATGCTTGTATTGCTGCTTGTCCTATCCACCTATGGCATAATATTTTTCATATGCTGAGAGCACCAGTAAATAATCAAATGGTTTCTTCTTGTATTCACATTTCTTCAGGCGGGATTAACTTTCTTTTTTTGATACATCTCCAGGTATGTATGGAAGAGTCCCTTCAAGATGCCTCAAGAAAGCATGAATGCTTAGGGGATTCTGTGGCTTGGGGTGGCTGTTCAATTATATACTTGCTTGGTCAACAGCTGCACTTTGAACTTTTTGATTTTTCCTATCAACTTCTTAATGTAGCAGAGGTGGAAAATACAAGCAGTGGTCAATCCATGTCTTCAGATAGAACCAAGAATACCCACTATCCCCAGGTATTACCTCACTCCTTACTAATGCTGTGTTTTATCTGTACATATAAGGAATTGTTTGGCACCCTATCATCCATTAGGAGCACCCACTTTACCAGATAGATGCGTGCCTATTTATTTGGCTGTTAGATACTTCCTTCAGAAGCAAGACATATGTGGTCTTGCTCTTATATACTGCAAATAGGTTTATATCAACTCTCATACAAGAGTCAATCGATGTTGATGACATAACCTCATATGTCACTTTTTTTTTTTTTTGGTAATTTAACTGAAACAGAAGATTGTGCCTTTGTTTTGTGGCTATCTGCTAGTACAGAGCCAGAATGTAATGTTTCACCTACATATAAAAATGCTTGATAACAATCATATCTCCTGCTGATTTTTCACTCATCCCAATAATATTAAATATATAGCTTGTAAGCTTCTGCTATTAATTAGCCTAATTCATAAACCATTACCAGGTAGATTGTTTCAACACACACTGCATGCCTCTTGGAAGCCTTGTTTTTAAGCTTTAAGTTGCCATCTTTGTATATGCTTTGAACTTGAAAGAATATTTGGTTAGTAAGTTATATGCAAAGTACCATAAACATATGTAATGCATGTGGGAGTGGGGACTAGGAGAGAAGTGGAAACTTTGAAATAGTTTCAAGGCTGTGGAGCATTTAAGATGTCTCCTTTTCTGTATTTGGATGGCAGTCGGCATTTTAGTTTCCTGAAGTGTAGAGTTGTTTAGGTTATTAGAGGACGAGAAGAGTTTAATTGTGAGCCTGATTCTGCTCTGATTCAACTGATTATTCAGACAAATTAGCTGTGGATTCAGCCATTTGGGAGAAGCAAACCTGCCAATGCACAAAATAAATAGCAAACAAGTTCCTGACTTTGCTTTGCCTTTCTGAAAAGACTATTTATCAGCTCTTCCGAGAGGAAATGAACCTGATGACATTGTTAACCCAATTAGAATTAGGAGGTCCTTTTCAACTATCACCATGACAAGCTTTATGTACAACTTATGAAGAAAGTGTTGTTCATCATCTCATTATTTTCTTCTGATTAATGGATTTATATTGGAAAGGCATGCCATAGTCTAATGGACGATGATGGCTACTTGAAGCCTACGTCCACTAGTTATTCCCAGAAACAGATGGTTGGAAGATTAACTGGATAAGGGGGAATGTTCCTTCTGGGGCCCACTCCAGTTAATTGCCAACCCTCCATTAATGGGAAAGAGACCTAGATGTAACCCAAGAGGACCAAATACTGTAGAACAATGATATCCGTTTCCTATTCAAATATAACTTACCTCGTGGTTTTCTTCCTTGTCATTTAAGTAACATATTCCAGTTTTCTGACTGGTTTGTTTGGTTGTTAAATAGGGGTGGGAGAACTTGATAGAAGGTGCAAAGAAAGTGAGAAGATTGAACAACCATGTTTTCTCAATGTTGAAAGCTCGTTGCCCATTTGAGGACAAGACAGCATGTGCAATTAAACCTAGTGGTGCCCCTCTCCCTCGGGTCAAGTACGAAAACACTGTTTCAGCATTCGAGACACTACCACAGAAAGCCAAAATTTCCTCATCTTTTGGTTGATTGAAGCTTATCTTTAAGCTTTAGTCACTCCTAGCATTTTTACATCTATGTTTTGTTCATTAACTCGTGTATGTAATCAGAGTGTTGTAATCTTTGTGATGCTATGTTGGAATTGAGCATCCATATATTCTTATTCATGGAATGGAGGCTTCATTCACTACGTCTAAAGTTTCATGTACTTTATTGTATGTTAAGGCCAATAATATCACATTGTTTGGTGCGTATAGCATGTAGCCCCAGGAGTTTGCTGCCCACTTACTCGCTTGGATAAAAAACTTACTTTGGAGCTGAACTCTTAACACTAAGATTTGACTATCTGAATGCTTGACGATGTTTGTTTAATGTTAGGACATCATTTTTACGGCTGATATTGAAGTCAAATATCTATTTTCTTCGCGGTAGGTGGTTACCTCCCAAAAATTGGAGGAAGAGCAAGATAGGGTTTTGCAGGATGGAGTGGATGGGTGATATGCTCCAGTTGGAGTTTATAATCTCTTGGCATAACTTATTTAGCTGCACTATGATGCTCCGCAATGGATCCCATCAATGCCCAAAGTGGTACAGGAAAAATGTTTCTACGGCTCGTAGATCCTTACTTTTCTGTTTTGTGCTTTTCATGTTGCAAGCATGACAGAAGTGGTCATGTGGAATTCAAGGGAGTAAAATAACAATTTTCTCTTTTTTTGTTTCTTTAAGTTACTGTATCTGAAATCCACTACTAATGACCTAAATAAGAAGCAAAAATGTATATACAAAATGGATCCTTTTTTTAATTGCCAAATGAATATGACTCGGTACAAGAGCTGGTTACAAGCTTTAAGTGCGAATTCCAGCACAATGTTCTTGAAAATTGAAATAAATTGAGCAATAATGATTGAAAATAAGCTTAAAACCAGTGTTTAAAAAAACGCCGAGTCGAACCGGATTCGCCCGTTTCGACTCGAGAATCATCATGGACGGATCGAATCGGCGAAAAAAACGGGAATCATCCGGTTCTAGAGAGAACGGGACGATTTTGTACAGTGACTCGCCGATTCACTGTACGAAATCGGCGAGCCCCGTAAGGTTTTATTTTTTTTTTTTTTTTTTTTTTTTTTTTTTTTTTTTTTTTTTTTTTTTGTTTTTTGTTTTTGTTTTTGTTTTTGTTAATTCCTA